CAACTATGAACAACATTCAACAATCTGCCACGATCTTTTGTCACTCAATAGTTATATTGAAACCAAAAAAAAAGTTCAGTGCTAAAATTATAATGTTTTAAAGTTCATGAGTAAAATGTGTAATACATTATATTTATATTATTTATTATTAAAAATAATAAGTTTAAAATGGTTTATCAAAACACATCAATATAAATATATACTAGTAAAACGTAAACGACACCAACTTCATGATTACAGAGCATTCTCCATTTCTCCTCATTTGAGGCATCAAGCTCAGGCTACGGACCTCATTCTCCATTTCTCCTTCCCTAATTTTGGATGTAATAAGAAATTAAATTGGAAACAATTTGCTGGTAATAATAGTTCGTCATCTCAATTTTTAAGAAAATCTGATTGGAGAGAGTTGATGCACATAATACATGTAAAATCGAATAAGCTAATAAATAAAATAAAAATATATTAATTATTTTATTAATTTAAAGTGATTATAATGTAGTATTTATTTAGAATTTTATTAATGAATTGAGAATATATTTTTTACAAACACAACTCTTTGAATCTAAATTTTTTATAAAAACTAATATTTTTATCACTTAAATCACTCATCGGCATAAAAAATATAATGCACATAGTAAAAACAGAATAGATTACAAAGGATAATTTTATTTTCAACCTCAGCAAAGAAATAAATAAATGTATAGTGGCAAGTGGCAACACCACACCCACTACTCAAACCACTCAATGTGTTTTGGGTGTAAATACGCTCAAATCAAAACTAAACATAAATTTCCATAGGCTTGTAACATAATCAAATCTCCACTATTTAATAGATGCGTCTTCATCTAATACTAGCTCATTGGAGGCTACCATATAAGAATTTATAGCAAATACAAGGACAATGCTGCAACAGCATTCTTCAGCTATCACTATACCCACTTTACAGCATAGCCATTTTGTGCACATTAAGTCATTTCTCACTTCCAATAGTTTATTTATAAATCTCCATTTTTAAAAGAAAAAAAGAAGAAGGGGAATATTGGTATAAATGGTCAACGTCTTGTCTTGTTATACGTAGATTCTGTAAGGAAACCCACCAAATACATTTGAAACATAAGTCGTGGACTAATCAGGACAGACAAAAAGCAGTGTTTAACTGAACACTGAAAATGTAACAGGCACGCTCGGTCCTATTGGTAAGATGCAAAAACTATTATGAGTTTGAATTTTATGTATCTTTAATTTGTTTTATGCTGTCAAATAGAGGGGAAAAAGCGTTGAATTTGATTTTGTTGATGCCTGGAGGAATTGGGACTATTTCGGGTGCCTCCTTCAGCTTCTTTGGGTGTCTTTTTTATCATGTTAATAATAATATTATAAAACGAGACGTTAATATTGACAGAACAATTAAAATAAAAATTATATAAAAAGAATTTACAAACTATGTTATGGGAAACTATTATTTTAGCAGTAAATTCACCTCTATTAATGCAATTGTTGCATTAGAACCTCAATTTTTTTTTTGAGATTAACATAGTCTCTATAATTTGTATACCCGAAATTTTGAAAACAATTTTTTTTTTCATTTAGTCCCTCAACTTTACTTGTTTTCATTGTTTCCTCAATTTATCCTTTGTTTTAAGTTCATTTTGATCAAATTTAAACCAAATGATCCTCTACCATTATAGAATAATATGTCAACTAAATTTCTCTTTTTGATAATAATTTTTCTCTTTTTCAAAATTAAATCCCTCAACTTTGTTTTCATCCAAAAGTTTATTGACTTCTTTGTACTCTCATTAATATTTTTTTCTTAAATTCTATTCTTTAAAAAATAACATTATAAATATGTTATATAATTTTACATGATTTTGATTTATTACAAATCTAATTACAAATAAAAAAGAATATATATATATGTGTGGGGGGGGGGGTTATTGAGAGTTATTTAATTAGAATCAATTAGTAACCTGATATTATAAATAATTAAATTTGAATTGAAATTCAAATAAATATATTTATTTTGACTCGAATCTCAAAAACACTTGACTTAAATTTTTTAAAAATAAAGTTTGAATGACAAAATGAACTCGTAAACTTGAGTAATCTAAATTCGTTTTACTCGAATCGATCGAATACTCACACCTACTCGAAAGGGCACCTAGGGTCAAATTTTATCTAAATTTTAATGGTTAAATTAAATGTTACTATTTATTAATGTGACATGCCATCAAACTAGCATGAGTTAATGGCTCAATGACTAAAATGTAATGAATTGATAACATGAGTTACCAAATTTTTGTTTAAATTGATGACCAAAATCAAATGAATAAAAAATATAATGGATCATCCGCATTGTTTAACTTAAATATTATTTTGGAAAGAATAAAAGTAAAATCTTTTTTAAATATAAACATTCAATCATATTTAGTTTTAAATAATAAATGATGACAAACTTATCAAACGAGTTCAATGGTTAAAAGAATGTTATTATTTATTATTATATTTTTTAAAATAAGAATGTTATTTATTGAATATGTATTATGTTGTGATCACCTCATGTAAAATAATAATAATAATGATAATAGATAGCAACGCTCTATCTTTAATGCAACTTTGTATTTCTCAAAAAAATCTAATTAGGCCGGTAAGCGAACCGAATGTTCAATGAATCGTTCGTGAACCGTTCAGTAAGAAGTTTATTTATTTATTAAACTAACGAACATGAACAAGATTTTATATTTGTTTATTTAAATGAATGAACATTAACAAAATGTTCGTTCGTTCATTTACGTTCATGAACGTTTGATAATCTGTTCTTTTATATTCATTTATTTATGTTTGTTCGTTTATGTCGTTTATATTCTCCAAGCCTGTTTGAAATATAAAGATTTAATAAATTTTAACCTTATACCCATTAATATTTTTAAACTCGATTAATTTTAAACCCGATTAATTTTAAACCCAAATAAAAAGTACTCAAATCAATTAAAAAATATAAATCCTAAAATTATTTGAAAAGAAAAAAAAACTCTTCTCAAATATAGACCCAATTAATTTTATGTTCGTTCATTTATGATCTTGCATTTGTGTTCGTTTATCATTTAAACGAATGAACATGAACGAACACGAGCAAGCTAAATCTCTTAATGAACAAGAACAAGTGATTTTGTTTGTTAGTTATTTGCGTTCGTTCGTTTATTCGGTTAAAGTTAAATGAACAAATATGAAATACTTTTATTCGATTAATTATAAGTCTAAATCTAATCACATACATATTTAATGATAATATAAAAAAATCACCGTCCAACCATGAAAAATCGTTAGACATAATGTTGATATAATAACTTGTGTTGATGGAATTATAGATTAGTAGAGTTAGAATATCCTCGTGCAACACCTCATTTAACATCTGAAGCGTTGAAAAAAAAAATACGAAAGAGTAGGGTGGGGTGTGAAATCTAGCGATTTGACCAAACTGACACTCTTTAATCGAATATCTCATTTTTTAGCACTGTTTGTTCTATATTTCCTGAAGTGACACCCTTTCGGCTAAGGTGGCGAAATACGCATCCCCGGGGACGCGCTTTACCTGGTTTTACGTTGAGTTGGATGCCACGTGTGAAAGGCGCATCACCGGGGACGCGGTTTACCTTTATTTTGCTGATTCAGTTGCCACAAGTGAAAGGCGCATCCCCGGGGACGCGCCTTTCATTAAATGTCTTAAATGCCCATCCGATTTTTCCCCAACTACCCCTCCTCCTCCTATATAAACCCCCTCAACCCCCCTCATTCTTCACACCAAAATCATCTTCTCATTTCTTATATAACTCAAATTCTCCAAATCTTTGAGTTTTAAATTTCTTATTAGTGGTAAGAAATTTATTTTTCAGTTATTATTATTTTAAATAGTTATTATATTTTATATTAATATAATTATATAAATATTATTTTTTTATTAAAATAATATTTATATAATTATTATTTATTTAAATTTATTAATTAATTATTTTTTGTGTTATTATTTTTTTTGTCTACAGTTATAATGGAAAGTGAAATGCTGATGCTATTGGATGCTGACCATATCTTTAGACATTTTAGCGATATGGTAATATTTTTTTATAATTAATGTTAATATTTATTGTTATGTTTAATTTAAATTTATTATGAATTTATATTAATTTTAATTTTTTATAATGCATATTATTTAGGATACTGATCGTATTTTAGAGACATTTATTAAAAATCCACGTATACCGACACCAGAACGTATTTTGCCATATTTGGCTTCTGCCGGGTTCGGATATATTGCAACAATTATTGGCGGTTGCAAACTCGAACCTGTCCTAATTTCTGCATTAATTGAGAGGTGAAGGCCCGAGACACACTTTTCACCTTCCATGTGGAGAGGCTACAATTACATTGGAGGATGTCTCTATGCATCTGGGGCTTCTCGTCGACGGAAATATGATGTGTGGTATGGCGGATGGTGATTGGCAGTCAATGTGCATTGATTATCTTGGAGCTGCTCCGCCAGAGTTTAATGGATGTAGAATAACTTTATCTTGGTTGAAAGCTAATTTTGAGGTTTTAAATGAAAATGCTTCAGAGGATCAAGCAAAGGCATGTACTCGGGCATATATTCTACGAATAATTGGAGGAATATTGATGCCCGCCAAATCTCGCAACCAGGTGTATTGTATGTGGTTGCGGCATCTGATCGATTTTGATGAAGCTGGAAGATATAGTTGGGGTGCTACAGTTTTGGCATTTCTCTTTAGAGAAATGTGTCGGGCGACGAATTATAAGAAAACTGCTATCGGTGGATGTCTCCTGCTTTTGCAATCATGGGCGTGGTTCCGCATGCCTTTCTTATGCCCGATCATGAATGAACCATACGTATTCCCCTTATTGTTGAGGTAATTATCGAACTAAATTTTGATTTAAATATTTTTAATTAAATAGGGTGATATTTAGTTTATATTATATTTCATAGGTGCTCGATGAAAAGAAAGAACCATAAAAGTATACCTACTGGGTTAGAGAAAATTCGTCTACTTATTGATCAAAAGCTGGGTCTGAGTTATGTTTTTACACTTGTTTAAATATTTATATTTTAATTTAAAATGCTAGATATAATTAGAATATTTTATTTATTTGAGTTGTATATTTATATTTCAGTTTCAATGGATACCTTATGCGAGCGATGAAGTGAAGGCTTGCATCCCACCCCACCTTGGTGGGTCATTAGAGGTTTGGATATCGGTTATACCTCTTATATGTTATGTTATTATTGAGTGGAATCCAGTTGATCGCATGCTCCGTCAGTATGGTTGTACGCAATATATTCCTGGAGCACCTAGGAATTTAGATGACGTGCATAACATAGATAGACGAGGAAAGAAAGATGTTAATTGGGTGGTGAGACACAGAGATTGGATTGCGCTTTGGGAGAACCGGTATGCACAGTTGGCCCCTCGACAATATTACGCTGAAACTGGTCATATGGTTATGGATAACTATATGGACTGGTTTAATGAAAATGGGAATTCGTTTCTACTTTCGGAAGAAGAACGAGGGGTTAGCATTCCTAGGCACCGAGAAAGACGTCAACCGTCTCAATATCATCGTCCCCCGACGCATGGACGAAGAGAATGTGCTACCGGTTCTGTATCAGTCCCACCACAACATCCTTATCCACCGATGCCACAATGGTACATACCCAGCCCTCCACTTCAGATGCTATCTCATCAAGGGTATATGCCAAGCCCACCAGTTCATATGTCATCTCTGCAGGGTTACATTCCTAGCCCGCAGGGTTACATTCCTAGCCCGCCAGGTTACATGCCTATCCCGTAGGGTTATACCATATGGAGGTGCATATACGGCTATGTTTAATGATCCAACATATGGTTCATATGCATCTTATTTGGCTGGTGGTGCTTCCCCTCAGACACTGAGTCTTGGGTTTTTTCCTTAAAAATTTACATTTACATGTTGTCACCAGGGAACGAGTATGCATTATTTCAGACCGAGTAGTCGAGATAAAAACATCAATGGACTATTTGGGTACAATGTATAGACCTCCACATGTTCAACATCGTTATTGTGTCCGTCATATTGCTGCAAACTATTACAGAAAATACAAGAAGGACAATGAACGTCAATTAGTCATGCGGGTTGGTGTGTTATTTTTCCCCAATTTTTCTATCATTTTCGTATTACTTATTTATACTTCATATTAACTATTACATATTCCTAATGGCTTAGGTTACGAACTCTTACCTCAAAGGTTTGAGTCGATGCTACAAGAGTTGTTTGGCAAAAATAAGAAGGGGTGCGAGTACATTATGGACATTAGCAAAGAAATGTGGACAAATGCTTATGAAGGGGGCATCGCTATGGTCATATGACAACAAACTTGGCTGAAGCAATAAATTCAACCTTAAAGGGGGCACGTCATTTACCAGTCACGACAATGGTCAAAACGACTTATTTTCATTTGGGTCAACTCTTTGCAAAGCTCGGTGGACAAGCTCTTACTTGGATGCAAAACGGTCATATTTACCACCTGATGTAAGGCTCTTCTGATGCCTTAACAAATGATTGTGGATCTAGGAAGGAAGCAAAACAACCTGCGAAGTGAATGGCTCAAAACAGAATGGTTAAGGGTGGTAGGCGTATGGTGAATAGGTGGGCTATTTAATTGAGAGATAGAACCGGAAGATGGTTGAAATGGCTATGGTTATGGTTTATGAAACAAAGACCCACAACTCTTTATAGAGCAAATACTCAAAGAAGAACCAATGCTATATATAGCAAAGACCCAAACTTTATATTGCTTCTTTAAGGGGTGGTATGAAGTACTTTGACCCACTAGTTATAAAGAACTAGGAACTAGAAGTATCAAGATGAAAGGAAAGGGGTTGATGCCACAAGTATAAAATATACTTGATAAGTCGATAAAAGTCAACATGACTTAAGGAAGAGAATAATCTCACTTTAATTAAACAAAAAGGTCTGATTACAAATGATGATTGCTTTCCTATTTATAGGAAATGGAGAGACATGGCCGAATAATTACAAGGAGATTCGGCCAGCCTTGTGCCTTCCTAAAATGACACAATTTAATTAATAAAATAACTTGAATAAATAGGTGCTGGTTCGGTTGAACTATAAGGGTATGTCTCATGGCCGAATAACACTTGAAACCCTTCAAGTTGGCACCAAATTGGAGAAGTAATGGTGTTTGGCCGAATGGATAGATGGACATTCATCTTGGAGCCTAAATGGAGTCATATGCAAGGCATATGGGGGATGATCACATGCAAAACACATGGCTTGGCCGAATAGGGAGATAACTCTTCATCTTGGCGCCTAAATGATCTATATGCAAGGCAAATGGGGGCTGGTCATATGCAATGCACATGGGTGTTTTAGGAAGCCTTGTGGTGCAGCCTTGTGCATGGAATGATGGCTGGTCATGCTCTCTCTCTCTTGGGTGTGCATGTGTCTCCTTCAAGCTAGCTTGAGTTGTGGAGCTAGCTAGCAAACATGGGCTGTTTGTGAACAAGCTTCCTAGCTAAGTCCTTGTGAGCTCCTCAACATTATGTTCAGCTACCTTTGACATCACTTTTGGCAACTCAGCTCCAAATAGTCCAACTAGCTAAGTTTAGCTAGCCTTAAGCTCCTCCAGCTGAATCGAGCATCCCTTAGTATTCCATGAGCTGCCTTGTACTTTGTAAGCTGTTTGTGAGCTGCATATGACGTCCAAATCATTCACCAAGCTACCTCAACATGCATCATGCTCCAATGTACCTACATGTGCAAGGAAATAAGGTAAGTCCATGATATTGAGCTAAGACGAGCTAAATACCTTGCTGCCATGTTTGATTATGGTAATGTGAGCTAAGTTTGAAGGACATGAGCTAATTATATCATCTCATAATATGTGTAATATTATGCATGAGGCTTAAGAGTTAATATGAATGCATATGAACTAACGAAATGCATTATAAGTATGCTGCCTTGATGTATAAATAATAATCATGCTTAATATGTTTATAAAGTTATCATAACATGCTTAACATATTAAAATAACAATGTGCCAGATGTATTCATACTAAGTTATTCTTTGACTATTAAAACATTATATAACATAACATAGGAGGCTGTTAAGTTATTGAAACATTGTTTGGCCCTTGACCTAGTAATGGGACCTTACGGTATGACTTCCGGATCTGGGGTAGGTGCGATCACATCACCACCCAAGACTAGTAGCTGATTTACAGAAAAAAGTGGCTGCATCAAATGGGATGTTGGTTACAAATTTTTCAATATTTTGGTTAAATAATAATAACAGATGACTAGATTGATAATATTTAAATAATTAAGTGATAAAATTAATAGATCGATAATCAAAATAAAAAATAATAATATAACCATACGTGTAATATAATAATTTTATACATTTTTCCAATAACTACAATAAAATAAAAACTAGTTTTCATCTGTTGTTCTATCCGATTAATGTGGATAATACACTCCACCTTTAACACACATTAAAAAAATACATTCGCTAATTATTAAATTATAACTGAAACAATTTACATTATATATTACTAATTTATAATAACAATAAAAATAAAATTTTTATTATTAAAAAAAATACTACGTGGCAACTGAATCAGCAAAACTAGGTAAAGCGCGTCCCTAAGGATACGCCTTTCACACGTGGCATCCAACTTAGCGTAAAACCATGTAAAGCGCGTTCCCAAGGATGCGCCTTTCGCCACCTCAACCGAAAGGGTGCCACTTCAAGAAATATAGAACAAACGATACTAAAAAAAATATTCGATTAAAAGGTGTCAGATTAAATCGCCGTGAAATTTAGAGATTTGTAAGGGAAAATAGATGTTTTGCTTTTGGAACTATAAATTAACGGCGATTTGACCAAAATGACACATATTTAACGATTATTTACCTTTTTAGCACCGTTTAATATATATTTCCCGAAGTGGCACCCTTTCGGCTGAGGTGGCGAAAGGCGAATCCCCGGGGACGCGCTTTACCCGTGTTTTCGTTGAGTTGGATTCCACGTGTGGAAGGCGCATCCCCGGGGACGCGCCTTCACTGACTCGACTACCACGTGTGGAAAGCGCATCCCCGGGGACGCGCCTTCCATTAAATGCCATAAATGCCCCCATCCGTTTTCCCTAACTACCCCTCCTCCTCCCCTATATAAACCCCCTCAACCCTCCCTCATTCTTCACACCAAAATCATATTCTCATCTCTTATATAACTCAAATTCTCCAACTATTTGAGTTTTAAATTTGTTATTAGTGGTAAGAAATTTATTTTTATGTTAGTATTTTTTTAAATAGTTATTATATTTTATATTAATATATTTATGTAAATATTATTTTTTATTAAAATAATATTTATATAATTATTATTTATTTAGAATTATTAATTTTTTTGTGCTAATTATATTGTTTTGTCTACAGTTATAATGGAAAACGAAATGCTGTTGCGATTGAATATTGACCATATCTCCAAACATTTTGGCGATATGGTAATATTTTTTATAATTAATGTTAATATTTAAATTTATTTTTATTTTAAAGTTATTATGAATTTATATTAATTTTTATTTTTTATAATGTATATTATTTAGGATACTGATCGTATTTTAGAGACTTTTTTTAAAAATCCACATATATCGACATCGGAACGTATTTTGCCATATTTGGCTTCTGCCAGGTTCGGGTATATTGCAACAATTATTGGCGGTTGCAAACTCGAACCTGTCCTAATTTCTGCACTGATTGAGAGGTGGAGGCCCGAGACACACACTTTTCACCTTCCATGTGGAGAGGCCACAATTATATTGGAGGATGTCTCTATGCATCTGGGGCTTCCCGTCGACGGAAATATGATGTGTGGTATGGCGGATGGTGATTGGCAGTCAATGTGTATTGATTATCTTGGAGCTGCTCCGCCAGAGTATAATGGAGGTAGAATAGCTTTATCTTGGTTGAAAGCTAATTTTGAGGTTTTAAATGAAAATTCTTCAGAGGATCAAGCAAAGGCATGTGCTCGGGCATATATTCTACGAATAATTGGAGGAATATTGATGCCCGACAAATCTCGCAACCAGGTGCATTGTATGTGGTTGCGGCATCTGATTGATTTTGATGAAGCTGGAAGATATAGTTGGGGCACTGCAGTTTTGGCATTTCTCTTTAGAGAAATGTGTCGGGTGAGGAATTATAAGAAAACTGCTATCGGTGGATGTCTCCTGCTTCTACAATCATGGGCGTGGTTCTGCATGCCTTTCTTATGCCCGATCGTGAATGAACCAAATATATTCCCCTTATTGAGGTAATTTTCGAACTAAATTTTGATTTAAATATTTTCAATTAAATAGGGTGATATTTAGTTTATATTATATTTCATAGGTGGTCGATGAAAAGAAAGGACCATAAAAGTATACCTATTAGGTTAGAGGAAATTCGTTTACTTATTGATACGAAAACTGGGTCTGAGGTATGTTTTTAAATTTGTTTAATTATTAATATTTTAATTTAAAATGCTAGATATAATTAGAATATTTTATTTATTTGAATTGTATATTTATATTTATATTTATATTTCAGTTTCAGTGGATACCTTATGCGAGCGATGAAGTGAAAGCTTGCATCCCACCCCACCTTAGTGGGTCATTAGAGGTATGAATATCGGTTATACCTCTTATATGTTATGCTATTATTGAGTGGCATCCAGTTGATCGCGTGCTCCGTCAGTATGGTTGTACGCAATATATTCTTGGAGCACCTAGGAATTTAGACGACGTACATAACATAGATAGACGAGGAAAGAAAGATGTTAACTGGGTGGTGAGACAAGAGATTGGATTTCGCTTTGGGAGAACCGATATACACTGTTGGCCCCTCGACAATATTACGCTGAAACTGGTCATATGGTTACGGATAACTATATGGACTGGTTTAATGAAAATGGGAAGCCGTTTCTACTTTCGGCGGAAGCACGAGGGGTTAACATTCCTAGGCGCCGAGAAAGACGTCAACCGTCTCAATATCATCGTCCCCCGACGCGTGGACGGAGAGAAGGCGTTGCCGGTTCCACATCAGTCCCACTACAACATCCTTATCCATCGATACCGCAGGGGTACATGCCCAGCCCTCCATTTCATATGCCAAGCCCACCAGTTCATATGCCAAGCCCACCAGTTCATATGCCATCTCCGCAGGGTTACATTCCGAGCCCGCAGGGTTACATTCCTAGCCCGCCAGGTTACATGCCTAGCCCGCAGGGTTTTATACCATATGGAGGTGCATATACGACTATGTTTAATGATCCAACATATGGTTCATATGCATATTATTTGGCCTGTGGTGCTTCTCCGTAGACACCTCAATCTCCATCTGGATCACAGAATCGATGCCAACGTTTCCACAGTTTTCACAGTTACCGGGGAGCGATGGGATTGTTACTAGCACTCCTCCAGGGTCGTTATTTTATACAGGCTCTTCAGCCCCTTCAGCGTCATCTACACCAAATGAAGAAAATGTTGCTGATGATGATAGTGATGATGAGGAGACTGAAGAACAAGTTCCACGAAGAAATCCTCCACGAAATAGACAACCACCGCCATGTGGAACTCATTCGAGAAGACGACATCGGTGATCCAGTTGTATTTTAATGTTATTTAAATAGTTATATTTCAGAATTTTATGTAATTTGGTTATGTTATTTAAATGTTTCATGGTTGTTACATACATATTTTTAATGTTATTTTTTATTCACATTTAACATTAAATGTTTGATAAATATTTTTAAAATACAAATTATATTATTCGAAATTTAAAATAAAAATAAAAATAATATTATTCGAAATTTAAAATTAAAATATAAATTATAGTATTCGAAATTTAACATTAATTTAATAAATTAAATTATATTATTCCAATTTCAACTTAAATTATATAATTTGTCAATGTATGTACACCTAAATAATTTTTTAAACTTTTAAATACATAAATATTTTTAATATATTTATTTAATATAATAATTAATATTATTAGTTATAAATTTTTTTAAAATATAATAATAATTCTACCTTCTAAGTAGAGAAAAATATTAAATTAAACAAATTAAAAGTTATTAAAAAATTTATGTATACAATGACACATTTCATGTTCTGATTTGAGGATTAAATTTATTAAATTAAATTTTCAATAAGACTAATTTCATAAAATATGTAAGTCTTGAAGATTAAATATGTAATTATACTAATTTATTAACTTATGCATCGATATTTTCGTTAAATATTAATAAGAGATGACTAGATTGATAACATTTAAATATTAACTGATAAAATTAATAGATCGATAATCAAAATCAAAAATAATAATATAACCATATGTGTTATATTATAATTTCATACATTTTTCCTATAACTACAATAAAATCAAAACTGATTTTCATATATTGTTCTATCATATTAATGTAGATAATTCACTCCACCTTTAACACATATTAACAAAATACATTTGATAATTCTTACATTATAATCGAAACATTTTACATAATATATTACTAATTTATAATAATAATAAAAATAAAATATTTATTATTAAACAAAATACGTGGCAGTCGAGCTGGCGAAAGGCGCGTCCCCGGGGATGCACCTTCCACACGTGGCATCCAACTCAGCGAAAACACGGGTAAAGAGCGTCCCCATGGACGCACCTTTCGCCAACTCAACCGAAAAGGAGCCACTCCGAGAAATATATATTAAACGGTACTAAAAAAATATAAATAATCGTTAAATATGTGTTAGTTTTATTAAATCACCATAAATTAACTACTACTATTCTAGCAGAGACTCATAAAGCCTGCATGGAATTGCGTGCTGTTGGTTTGGCTACACCTACGTGGTTTACGAGTCTGCTTTGTCAAAACGTAGGCGGTGTCTTAATTCATTTACTTGCCGCCCACATTTTCACAAATGCTTTTTTTCCACCCTTCTTGTTTGCGGCGCAAACTGCTATGTACTTTAAACTGTTGAGTAAGGACAACCCCTTTTCTGTGTCAGACCAGACGCCAGAATTGGGGTAACCGGCTAGGCCGCTCAACATAACCTTCAACTCCACCATATTAATAGTAACAAGGTTAAACTACCCAATTATTCCTCCTATTTTTTATTTGATCATCTAATTATTTCTTTATTATATTTTGATTACTAACGTAATTATCAATATGATATTTTTTATATTTTCAATGACAAAATGATATTATTTCAGGGTGATATGTTAATATTATTGTTATTTTTTAACAAATAGTGACAAAAAAATCAATAAATGACGTTGGATATAATTATAAAAAAATAATTAAAATGAAATCATAAAAATAATTGGGTGACTAAATACATAATTTCTAATAATAATAATAGTGTGAGTGAATTTGATTTATTTTATCATGTCAAACGGCCACCATCTTTGGTCTCGTTAGTCATTAGGAGTTGTCGTCAAAGCCCAATTTACATATTTCTGATGCTGTTGCCAATGGCCCAGATTGCTAATAGAAGAGTTTCTTCTTCCCTCATTATCAAATGTCGAAGGACAAGTCATACGATTCTCTTTATTATATATACTATCAATCAGTAATAATTAATTATTTTATTATTTTTAAATATATTCAATCTACTAAAAAGTTGATTTTTAAGTATCTATTCACTCTATATTTTCATGAAAAAAACTTTAAAAAATAATGATATAAAAATAAAGGAGTATTTTTATTAATCAAGATAATAAAAGACGCGATGAAATAAATTTATAAAAGGATAAACTACTCTAATGGTCACTAATGTTTGGGTATATTTTTGTTTTCACCACTGATGTTTTAAAAATCACAAATCGGTCACTAATATTATCATTTGTTACAAATTGGTCACTCGCCGTTAACAGGCGTGACGGAAAACACACGTGGACTGTTAACAACAGTTAACAGACTTACCTGGATGGTATAAGTACACAAGTAGTCTATATTATTTACATATTCTTTCAATTTGATCATAGTTTTAATAAATTAAAATAAATTTACTTACGAATCAAGAGGTGCTATGTGTCATTGGTTACACACTTGTGATGACACATGTCATCATTTGATTGAAAAAATAATTTTTGACTAATAAGATATTGACATGTCATATAAAATTAGGTACTTGTTTTGACCAAAACTATTTTTTATGGGCTTAAAGAAAAAAAAATATATAGTTTAGAAACTTATTTTTGACGAAGAAATAATTGAGGTGCTTAAAGTGGTTACATATAATAGTTTAAGCACTTAGTTTGACCAAAAAATATTTTAGGTACCTAAAAAAATAACATATTTTAAGTAATTTTTTTAGTTTAAGTCTTCTTTTGAAAAATAAAAATTCTTTATAAATTTAGAATTACGATGTATTTATTTTTGGGTAAACTATAGAAATGATTATTTTCGTTTGAGTTTTATAAGCTTTTCCTTACTGAATTCAAAAAATATAAAATTTGATCAATTTCGTTTCGTTTTAATTAAGATGTAGTCGCTAAAGGTTAACGTCAGTTAAATCATTAAAAGCTTGCTGACGTGGCATGGTAAATATATAAAATTAAAATTATATCATTTACACGTAGATAATACGTGGATTAAGTTTTGGTCACTTTCCTTTCATATTTGTACACTTTTGGCCACTTATGTTATTGTTTTATTAAGTTTTGGTCACTTACGTTATCGTTTTATTAGGTTTTGGTAACTTGGACGTTGTATGTCGTTAGTTTGATAACGTGGTCCGTTAGTAAATTGGTTTAATTTTTATTTTAACCCCTACACTTTAGATAAAATATTTATTATGGGTCTTCTGTAAATCCAAATTAGTTTAGGGACAATATTTCAATTTGTCCATTTTAATAGGTTTTCTTTCCAATCCCATTGTTGTTCATCTTCTCCTTGCTTCTTCTTCATACATCTTTGCTCCATTGCTCCATTTGTCTTCTTTCAAGGACTCATGTTGCATTTCAAGAATAATGAAAGATTTCCAACTTCCTATAACAAAGTAAGAACACCACAAGTTCAGAGAAAAATGAGAGGGTAGACATCTAGAGATAAAATAAAGATGCGTAATCTTAGTTATACAAACTAAAATTCAATTTCCAAAGATTAAGATTGTAGAATGTCAAATCCAACAAAGACCAAGATGACAAATTAATGGATTCAAATAATCCGATAACCGAATATCACTCTCCATGGTGGTTTCCCTTTCAGAAACGCCACCAGTGAATTATAATCAATGTGTCCAAACAACCTGATAATTGGATCCGTGAATTCATCCACTGAACTTAATCCAAAATCCGAGATCTTCAACGTTGAATTTTTTTCTCAAGAACAAACAATTTTTTTATTCTGTATCCATATGAATCATTGTTAATCCATGTGACCCACACGATATATCAAACCACCGCCACCACATCGTCCTTCGAGTACCTCATTTCAACAATGATTCGATCAAACAACTCACGCGAGAGTAGATCTCCGGTACGAAGTGAATATTGATTTCATATTCATAACATCGTGGAGGTCGATCACGTTCAGATGTGAAGAACGTTCTCGATGATCTTTCACATCACGAGGA